CCTCCTGCCTCAGCCTCCCTAGTAGCTGGAATTACAGGTGTGCGTCACCATGCCTGGCTAAGGCTGATCTTGAACTCCTGACCTCAAGTGATCCACACACCTAGGCCTCCCAAAGCGCTGGGATTACAGGAGTGAGCCACCGTGCCCAGCCTTAAAGGCCTTTCACCTCACCAGCACACCTCTGCTACTGCAGGATGGCAAACACTGTTTCCTGCCCCTGCCCCGTAATTCTCAAGATATGTAGGAAGGTTTGGTTGCCTTGTGCCTCAAATGCTTTCTTAGGAGGCTGTTCCAATAACTGCCTGTTCCTTGCTGTCCTCTGCAGAAACCACCATCTGCTCTCCCGAGTTCTTCTGGAAAGAGCCCCGTAATCATGTCATACTAACAGCGATGTCATGAAGAAAGGGAGGCAGCTCCCTCCATTTCCTGGCTCCAGTGCCCACTCCTGTACCCCCTCCACAGCCCACACAGCCTGGCCACCTGGTGGCATCTGGTCCCTGCGTCGCTTTCTGTAAGACAAGGACCAGCCTCCAAAGAGGAGAGCCTGGTGTCCTGAAGGAGATGGCGTCTGCTGTCACCTGTCCTGTGGCTTTCCTCTAACTGCCCAGGTGGGGGCCCAGAGATGGCGCCGCTCACTCCAGCTTTGAGTGGAGTTACATAACTTCCAGGCTTCCCCGCAGCTTTCTCCTCCCCACCCCTGAACTGTTTACACAGCGGCTCTCACCCACAGAGTCCACACGATGGCTTTTCCTCTGGAAGATGTGGATGGCAGTGTCCCAAGTTTTTCCTACCTAAGAACCTTTTCGGTAGGGGATGGATTTGGCCTATCTGATGATCAAGAGTTCAGGGTGGCCTTTGTGATACTGTGACACCCCCACCCAGGTCCAAAAAACAGTCTTCTGACAAATAACAGCCCTTCCTTTTCCTTCCCCACCTGTCCACCACCTGCTAATGTGATGTAAGCATGGCAGAAGCCCAAACACCCCTTCCAGAAATCCCAGGACTCATGTGGGAAATACTTTCATAATTAACGCCTTCTGAGAAATCGCTGCTTCCTTGAACTTATCTACTTTTCTTTCAGAGGTCCTTTAATCCTGCACTAAGGGGATACCCCCAAAAAAGGCTCTACTGAATTACCCACCCTTCCTTACTCCTTTCTCCTCATTCAGCATCCAAGCCTTTTTTAAGATGACCCAGATGCCCAAAGCAATAATTACATTGCAAGTGTATTTCTAAAAATTATTTATTCCAAACATTTACAATGTTCACTTTAAATGCAAAATAACTGGTAAAAAGAAAAAAAAAACACTGAAAAATATACTGACCCTTTGCCCCATATACAGATATCAGCCTTTGGTATTTGCTTTCAGGTAATTAGGTAAAACAGACAAACAAAAACTTGGAACTATTATTTCTCTCTAAGAAAACAATGTAGAGTTGAGGTATTTAACAGATGTGACCTCCATCCAGTAAGGTCTCCCTGTGAATTAACAGCCTTGCCACACGCTGTTCCGATCCTTTCCTCCTAAAGTAGAATTTCATTTGAGCATATGTTCAGAAAGCTGCCTATGTTCCTTAATAATCTCTAAGTTGCCATAGAAACTCCCTGGCGCTGGCGCCCAGCCACAAGGACAGGAGGCTGAGAGGGCTTTAGGGGGCACTGAGGAGGACCTGGCAAGGACCCTGAGCTGGCCCACCTGCCCCTCTCTGCGCAGGCCGCTGCCAGCAGCTGCATGGGACAACTGGGTGCGGGGCTCTTGCCCCAAAGGGTCACGGGTTGCTGCTGCATCTCCAAATTCAGACAGATTTCTCACCAACTCCACCTGGAGCTGGTGACAGCACCATCCCCACCTGGGCCAGCCTTCAGAATGTGCTGTAAGATGATACAGCTCAGCACCAAAGCAGCCAGGAAGACATTCCTGAACATTCTCCAGGAAACAGCCCCATAGACTACAACACTTCCAGCCTGCCCTGCTGGGCCCTGTGCACCGCCAGGTGGGCTTCCAGCCCCGTTCCAGCAGCAGATTCCACACCCTGCTGAGGCAACCACTTTCCTTTCTCCCAAGATAGCAGAGAAATGCCAGAGGCTTGGTGTGAGCTCAGAGCCTGACAAACAAACGGCAAGGACAAGTCCCCATCAAGGTCAAGGGCTCTCCGAGTTACCAAGAGCCTCTCAACACAGCCAATGCTAGCCCTGGACATAGTTCTTAAAATATTTCATTAATGCTACAAACATTATTGATCATTTTACATTAGATGTTGAACCAGCCTGTTTTTGACTTTCCCCACCCAGGAGGCTAAGATGCCTTATTTCATCTAAATGGTCTCTGTCCCAGCGTCTGACGTCTGGCCGCGTGGCAGACGGCCACAGGTGTTAGGCGAACAACAGCACTGCCGCAGACACGCGGGTGGAAATGCCCCGTGGATGGAGACACGTGTGCGGTTCCCACAGATTAGAGGACAGAGAAAGCTTAGGGTGTATACCTGTGAACACTGAGCCAGGCCTAACAGCCCAAAGAAGGCACTGTTTCTTCATTTACATTAGCTTATGAAAAATAAAGGGGAAAAAAAACCCTCTTAAATACAAAAAAAAAAAAAAAAAAAAGCAGTTCCATTACAATAATAATGAAAGCAATAACAATTCGGAGATCAAAGCTGCCTAGCTCTTGGCAATAATGAGCTATCTGGATTTCACATCTTCCACCAGCGTGGTTCTGCCCCGGCTCTGGTAACACCATATGTGGGTAAAACAGTGTCAGGCATCAAAGAACCGTGGGCACAGAATCACCTCTCTTCATGCAGATCCTCATTCTTAATATTTCCCTTTAACAGCATTTTTGCTGTTCTCAAGCCTCAGAAACTTTATGTGGCAGGATGGGAGGGAACCACCATAACCTCCTGCCTGCCCATGTTTTTTTCTTAAATGTTATTGTTTAATAGAGACAGTGTCTGTGTTGCCCAGGTTGGTCTCAAACTCCTGAGCGCAAGCAACTCTCCCACCTCGGCCTCCCAAAGTGCTGGGATTATAGGCGTAAGCCACCGCGCCTGGCCATCCTGCTTGACTTTTTGCCAACTTAGGGGTCTAAAATCTACAGTCAAACCCAGCAATGAAAATCACAGCCTGCTGAAGATAGTAGCAACTTGAACCTGGCAAACCGTAAATAAAACATGGTCATTTCCATCTTTTCGCACCTGTCTGGTAATGGTTGTTTTTCTAAGAGAAAAGGTTTGTGGGGCCGGGGACAGTGGCTCACGCCTGTAATCACAGCACTTTGGGAGGCCAAGGCTGGCAGATCATGAGGTCAGGAGTTCAAAACCAGCCTGGCCAACATGGTGAAACCCTGTCTCTACTAAAAATACAAAAATTTAGTTGAGTGTCGTGGCTCACGCCTGTAATCCCCGCTACTCAGAAGGCTGAGGCAGGAGAATTACTTGAACCTGGGAGGCGGAGGTTGTAGTGAGCTGAGATTGTGCCACTGTACTCCAGCCTGGGACAGAGAGAGACTCCATCTCAAAAAAAAAAAAAGAAAAGGTTTGTGGTCTGGTAAATTTTGGGGCCATGCCTGCGCAGCGGATTTAAATCATATCCCCACTCTGAAATACCCTGATAACTTGAGGGTTAACTGGGTAACCACTAATGCCACTGAATTTTCAAAGCTGGGACAGGAAAGTCAGCTGAGGCGGTTAGTCACGGTGTCACTGCTAGATGTTCAGTTGTGTTTCAATTCTTGCTGAGCTGAATCAACTCAAGGAACTAATAAAAAGAGGAAGGCATCTAGGTAAGGGGTTTTTTAAAATGGATCTCCCCTTTAATGGCAGAAAGCTCATGGTTTTCGGGGTGGGGAATTTCTAGGACCCTGCATGGTAGTTGTGGGAGGCTTCCTTCCCAGCACTGGGACAGGGACCAGACACCCTCTCCACAACCGCCTGGGGGAGTAGGCACACGCTGGCTGGTTTTTCCCTAGAATAGAGAAGAAGCAGACTATTTTTCCACTTTTTAAGACAAAAACAAAATACAGAATGAAATCACAATCTCTTTTCTAACAGGGAAAAATATTTTTTCTTTTCTTTTCTTTTTTTTGGGGGCGACAGGATCTCACTCGCTCTGTCACCCAGGCTGGAGTGCAATGGTGCGATCTCGGCTCACTGCCGGGCTCAGAGATCCTCCCTCCTCAGCCTCCCAAGTGTCTGGGACTTCAGGTGCACTCCACCACACCCAGCTAATTTTTGTGTTCTTTGTAGAGATAGGGTTTCACCACATTGCCCAGGCTGATCTCAAACTCCTGGACTTGGCCGGGCGCGGTGGCTCATGCCTGTAATCCCAGCACTTTGGGAGGTCAAGGCGGGCGGATCATTTGAGGTCAGGAGTTTAGGACCAGCCTGGCCAACATGGTGAAACCCCATCTCTATAAACAAACAAACAAAAAATCTCCTGGACTCAAGTGATTCTCCTGCCTCGGCCTCCACGCCTGGCAGGAAAAGTATTTTTTCTCTTCCTCCTTTTTCATTTGATTTGGTTTTGGGCTAAACAAAGTTATGGTGCTTCCCCCACACCTAAGTAAGTTACTTCTATGCTGACACAGCAACTATTGGCTATTCCACCCTCTCGAGATAAAATGGTCAGCAGTTTTTTAAAAAACCAAGTTAAAATGCATCCTTGCCAGGCTCATTTTTCTCTTCACATTGTCCTTAATATTGTCTTCCCTAGTCACCTAGGCTTGGCTGACAGCAAACAAAACTGCAGTGACGCAGTTTTGTTCTCAGCACTGGCAGGAGCCCTCCCTGCTGCCAGCTCTCCTTTGTGGGAGCTGAAGAACAGAAAACACTGGCTTTCCGAGGCTGTGATGCCCCGCTCAGCCCCCACTCCAGGGCATGGTGGAGACCCTGTGCCCCGCTCCTGTCCTTCCTCCGATTTTCACCTGAGGTCCTGCAGCCTGACGCCAACGCAGTTGCCTCTGTATTCAGCAGATGCCTAGGATTATCATTCACATTTAGCGAAATGCTAACGAGGAACTAATTATAATCCCGTTTAAAACGACCAGGCCCTGAGATACTGTATTATTCACCCACCCACCCTCAGCTGTTTTTCGACTGTGGGCAAGAAAGGGGGGAGACAGCTTCTTTCCCCAGCCTTGGTGGCTTCAGTAAAAGCCGTCCCCAGGCCTAGAAGAACAGAATTTGCGAAGGCACTTGGGTTTTAGAAGTTTGAGCTGGAAGACAAACCCCTGCTGTCGGCCAGGAGCCTGGCAGCTGGAGGCGGCTTTGGCTGGAAATTCACCCCACCTGCCTGAGGGTGCAGCTTGTGCAGAGGTGGTGGGGGGTGGGCTGTCAGCCACGCTCCACAGAGGCCTCACCACGCTGCCCAGCTTTGAGTGTCCACATGAGTGTCCAAAGAGTCGTGACACAGCTCTCTCCGCAGTGGCCCAAGTTCACTGTGACGCCTTTAAGCGGGGCATTTGGAAAGGTAGGTTTGAAGCCTGAACCCCCTGTTCCTTCTGAACAGCTGCAGCAGACTGATTTTCCCCGGCATAGGAACCTCCATAAGGCTCTTCTATAACAGTGAAGCCAAAGGCCCCACGGCCCTGAGACAAGCTGGCATGGTGGTGACAAGCATCTTTTGCTGAGCCCGTTTGGACTCCGTCATCCACAGGGTCCAACGTGCCTGACACCCAGCCTGCCGGCCCCAGCCGGCCAGCTATCCGGGGAAGAAGTAGTCTCTGTTGCTGATGTCATAAGGGCTCCGTGGGTCCCTGGCATCTGGTCGGCTGTGGCTTGAGGTGTTGTCAGACCCCAGGCTGCTGGGGGACACCGGCGGGGAGATGAGAGGAACAAGCACTGGGGTGGGTCGGGGCCTCTCCGGGACCAGCTGCCCCAAAGAGTACGGCGGGTGCATGCTGGTCTTGCCTTCCTTCCGAGCCCGCCGCTTCCACGTCTTCTTGAACCTTCACACAAACAACCAAAGACAAACACACAGATGTTTAGCTCCCCCTGTGACAAGCCCACAGTGGAAAACACCAACTGCTGGCTGCCCTGGTGGCCTGGTGTTCCCAGGTTTCAGCTCAAAGGAGCAATAACTATCCCATCAGCTGTTTTTTTGTTAGTTTGTTGTTTTTTGAGATGGAGTTTCGGTCTTGTTGCCTAGGCTGGAGTTCAATGGCCCAATCTCGGCTCATTGCAACCTTCACCTCCTGGGTTCAAGCGACTCTCCTGCCTCAGCCTCCCGAGTAGCTGGGATTACAGGCATGCACCACCATGCCCGGCTAATTTTGTATTTTAAGTAGAGATAGGGTTTCTCCATGTTGATCAGGCTGGTCTCGAACTCCTGAGCTGAGGTGATCCACCCGCCTCGGCCTCCCAAAATGCTGGGATTACAGTCATGAGCCTCTGCACCCGGCCTAGTTTGTTTTAAGACAGGGTCTTGCTCTGTTACCCAGGCTGGAGCGCAGCGGTGCGATCTCAGCTCACTGCAGCCCCAACTTCCCTGGGCTCAGGTGATTCTTCCACCTCAGCCTCCTGAGTAGCTGGGGTGTATGCCACCAGATCCAGCTGATTTTTGTATTTCTCATAGAGGCAGGATTTTGCCATGTTGCTCAGGCTGGTCTCAAATTTCTGGGCTCAAGAGATTTGGCAGCCTCAGCCTCCGGAAGTGCTGGGATTACAGGCATGAGCCACCACACCCAACCCGGCTGCTTTTATTACCAGGGATTTCACCATACTCTGAAGTATGGTGAAATTCAGAGTATGGTGAATTTGGGTGAGTTTCCAAAACACTCCCAAGGAAATAGGTATGTACTGTTGGTCCAATTTACAAGTGAGGAAACTGAGGCATGTATGGCCATGAGTGTCCTTTTAACACCCCAGAAAGTTACTTCACAGTCCCTTAATCATCCCATTCCAGAGGCTGTTCATTAGATACACATCATCAGTCCCAAATCCATTTACTTAAAAAAGAGAAAAATAAAGTATTCTTTTAGTAGAGAAAGAAAATGGGCCTCTCGGGCTGGGCGCAGTGGCTCACTACATCCAAGTACTTTGGGAGGCCGAGGCAGGTGGATCACCCAAGGTTGGGAGTTTGAGACTAGACTGACCAACATAGAGAAACCCTGTCTCTACTAAAAATGCAAAATTAGCCGGGCGTGGTGGCGCATGCCTGTAATTGCAGCTACTCAGGAGGCTGAAGCAGGAGAATCGCTTGAACCCAGGAGGCGGAGGTTGCAGTGAGCTGAGATCAGGCCATTGCACTCCAGCCTAGGCAACAAGAGCAAAGCTCCATCTCAAAAATAAAATAATAAAAAAATTAGCCAGGCATGATGGCATATGCCTGTAGTCCCAGCTAC